GAGGTGCGGCGGGGTTTCTTCTTCTTCTGAAGCTTCCCCACGCAGCGGACTCTGCAGAGGTGACTCTTGTGCAGCAGCAGCTGCTGCTGCTCTCGCTGCTGCTGCTGCTTGCGTTGCTTCCAAGGCTGCTGCTGACCGCCGCAACGCCGCGGCGGCGTCGGAAGGAGCAGCAGCAGCAGCAGCAGACGCAGAAGCCTGAGATCCTCTAAAACGAGACTTTTTATTCTCTTCTTCAAAAGAACTCATTAGCCGAGACAGCCCCAAGTGGAATTGCGCTGAAGATGCCTCCAACTCCAGCTGCTGCTCCTGGGGCCCCAGGGGGCCCTCAGGAGCAGCAGACCCCCGGGAAGGTGCAGCAGAGGCCCCAAGCTCTTCTGCTGCTTTTGACAGGACTGATGCAGTAGTGGCTGAACGCGTTGGGGACTTCAGTTGCTGCTGCTGCTGCTGCTGTGGCTGCTGCAGCTGCTGCCTCTGTGACCCTGGCGAGCCAGAAGCAGCAGGAGAGCGTGCCCGTGGGGGCGACTCTGCTGCTGCCGCTGCTGTTCTTGCTGCTGCAGCTGCGCGACCACCGGCGGGCCCACCAGGGCTGTTTGGGGGGGAGGAGTTCAAGGCAAAACGAACTGTGTGTCTCCTGCGGGCTCTGTCCCCCTCTGATGATGCTGCAGCGTCCCTAAGGGCACTTGGGTGGGGAGAAAGCTCTCTGGGAGAGGGAGACATCTTTGCTGCTGCAGAAGGCTAGGGGTGTGTTGCTGCTGCACAGCCGCAGGGGCCCTGCCCTAGCTTGACAGGGCGCGGGGGAGCCGCAACATAGCTTGGAGAAAGAAGTGAGCTTTCAAAGAACTATTTCACTTTGCAGATTTAAATCGGAAGCAAAAGGTGTACATACACCCCTTGGACAGCCCAGAGACAATCGGCAAGCCACGGAAGGCAACCAGCGCTTGAGGCCTGCGCGTATCGCCAGCAGCAGCAGCAGCAGCAGCACGAACAGAAATATTTCCTCTTTCTCCTTCCTGAATATTTGCTAAATTTAACAGAAAAAACTGCAAGGAAGATCAGCAACAACTGGGTGTTAAGGCAAGAAGGAAGCTCAAGCCTGGAGGGCCGTGAGCTGGTCCAGGCTGCTGCCGCTGCTGCTGCTGCTCCGGCAGTGTTGCTGCTGCTCCTGCTGCTCGGTTTTTGTGTGTTTGAGCCCTTCAGTTCTCCATTTCACTTTTATTTTAATTAGGCTTCAAGACTTAAGGCACTTCTATGCGGGAGCCCTGGCTGGCTTGCCGGGGCTCCCCAGGTCTGTCTGCAGCGCTGCTGCTGTTGCTGCTCTGCTGCTGCTGCTGCTGAAACAGACTGCAAGCACTTGCACGGAAGATCTGCCTCACTAAATTCTTCAAAGTTAGCCAGTTTCCGGGATGGGCGCTGTAGAAAGAGAAGTTGACGACAAGAGGCCTACCTGAGGTCACGGGTCTCCCAGCAGCAGCAGCAGCAGCAGACCTTGCTGTTGCTCGGTTGCAGCTGCATCAGCCACACGGAACAGGCAGCAGCGCCCCCAGTACTCACAGGCAATACAGGGTCCCCTCAAGACTCCGTCTGCGGGGCTAAGCCCGTGCTGCGCTGCAGCAGCAGAGCGCACCAGCTCAACCACCCACTCATTTCAGCTCCTTACTGGAGCCAAGAGCAGCAACTAATGCACTATTAGAAATAACTTTCGCCACCCAGTGGCCCCTTAAGAGAACAGTTGCTGCTGGGGCCCTCTGGGGTAGTTGGGAGTTGTTTTATTAAGCGCTTTCCAGCAGCAAGTGCTGCAGCTGAGACTTCAGCCTGGCAGAAGAAGCCCACAGCCCGGGCTCTAACATTTGTATTGTGTTATATTTTCATAAATGCAAAGTTTGCTGCTGCACCTGCATTTGTATTCATGTTTATTTTCGATTTAGTCTGGGATTGCCAGAAAGAAAGCCACAAAGCTGGGGCTCGCTGGCCAGCAGCAGCAGCAGCCTGAGAAGCAGCAGCAGCAGTGAAGCTGCCTCGGCTGCAGCTCAAGTCTTCAAGAAGAATAAAAACGCTTAGATGCACTTAAGTGCAGCCAGAAGATTGCAGATCCTTTGACTCTTTTTTCAGAATAAACAAAAAAAGGAACAATAAATGCGTCACAATAAATGCATCAGATAGTCCGGGATTGATGCATGAATTTCAACTTTTGAATTTAATTCAAAATGGACTTCCTGGCCAAGGAACAATAAATACGTAACAATAAATGCATCAGATAGTCCGGGGTTGATGCATGAATTTCAACTTTTGAATTTAATTCAAAATGGACTTCCTGGCCACCCGCAGCTTCCTGCAGCATCCCTACGGGGCCCCTCAGCAGCAGCTGCCACCAGAGCTGCGCTGCAGCGCCTGTGAAATGAAGCAGCAGCGCAGCAGGGGGCCCCCCAAGGAGTCCCCGAGGCCCCTTCCTTTTGTTTTAATTTTAAACTTTCCAAAATACAAAGAAGTTCTTAAGGGGCCCCAAGATTACGGGTTTTGGGGGGAGTTGGCTGAGGGGCCTGCTGCTGGGGCGGGTTGCAGCTGCTGCAGTCTGCTGCTGCTGGGGCTGGCTTTGCAGGTGCTGCAGTCTGTCTGCTGCTGCTGCGCCAAAAGGCCGGCAGCAGAAGTGCCGTGGGCGCCTCTGTGCTGCTGCATGCATACACTTGCCGCTCGAGGCCCCAGGGGACCTGCAGGCATGTGTTTAGCTCGCTGCTTTTGTGTCTTTAAAAGCTAGCAAATGGAATTGAAGCCCTCGGGCTGCTCAGCGGCAACAATAGACGCAAATAGAGAAAATGGTTCAAAAAGCGTACCCCAAGAAGCGTCAGCAAAGAAGTCCGGGGCCCAGCACGCTGCTGAGGCAGCAGCAGCTGGCTGAAGCAGCAGCTGCCCGCTGAAGCAGCAGCAGCTGGCTGAAGCAGCAGCGGCTGGCTGAAGCAGCAGCAGCTGGCTGAGACAGCAGCAGCTGGCCGAGGCAGCAGCAGCTGAAACAGCAGCAGCTGGCTGAGACAGCTGCAGCTGGCTGAGGCAGGAGCAGCAGCTGGCCGAGGCAGGAGCAGCAGCTGGCCGAGGCAGGACCAGCAGCTGGCCGAGGCAGCAGCAGCAGCTGGCCGAAGCAGCAGCAGCTGGCTGCGGCAGCTGCAGCTAGCCGAGGCAGCAGCAGCAGCTAACCGAAGCAGCAGCAGCTGGCCGAAGCAGCAGCAGCTGGCCGATGCAGCAGCAGCTAGCTGCGGCAGCAGCAGCTGGCCGAGGCAGCAGCAGCTGGCCGAGGCAGCAGTCGGGCCTCTGCTGCGCCTCTTTGTCTCTAAAATATAATGAGACAAAAAGGTGCAGTAACTTCAAAAAGCTTTTTCTTCTTTCCACAACTCTGCGGGCTCATTGCGGCAGCACTCGCGCCTGCCTGCTGCTTGCCTAATTGCTGCTGCTGCTGCTGCTACTGCAGCAGCGTCAGCATTCTCTCCCAGCTGCAGCGGCCTCTGAAAGCAGTAGCGGGACTCTTCAATGCGCAGAGGGGGGAACCCCTGGGGGCTTTCTAGGGCCGCAGGGCCCCCCCTGGGGGCCCTTCAGGACCCCAGGGGCCCCCCTGGGGGCCCTTCAGGACCCCAGGGCCCCCCTGGGGGCCACGAGGGGAACCCCCATGGCTCAGTTGGCCAGCCCGGAGTCAGCAAACGCAGAAGCAGGAAAAGCTGATTTAAAAGACCCATCAGCCACCATGGCTTTCAGCACATCGAGGCCCCCAACCAGCTCCCCCTGCGAAGGTGCAGTTGCAGCAGCAGCAGCAGCAGCAGCAAGGCGACACAGGAGCCTTCCCCAAAGCGCGTTGGTTAAAGCGCTGCAGCAAACCAGGGGCTCAAGAGCGCCGCAGCAGCAGGAAGCAGCGCAGCAGCAGCAGAGGCGAAGGGAGCAGCAGCAGAAGCAGCAGAGGCAGCAGCAGCAAGCAGCAAAGGCAGAGGCAGCAGCAGCTTTTTACTGCCCTTACATTCACATAAAGCTGCGGATAAGTTGGCCAGTCAGAGAACTTCTTGAGTCCCTCGCGAACCTACGCAGACATCAAAGTGACCTCAAACCCATGCAGCAGCAACAGCAGCAGCAGCAGCAAATGCCGCCTCGAAGGTAACAGGCAGCAGAGCTCCACGCAGCGCCAGCAGTCAAAGCAGCAGCAGCAATGCGGAGCAGCAGAAACGGGGAGCAGCGGCAAAACGCGTTGCAGCAAGGAAGTCGCAATCCAACAACCGGCAGCAGAGATGGAAGTTGCAGCAAAACGCAAAGCAGCAGCAAGACTGCACCCTAAACCGTAAACCCTAGGGTGAGCAGCAGACAGACGCAGGCCAAAGAACAGCAGCAAGGGGAGCAACAGCAACCGGCAAAAGAATAACAACAGGAGCAGCAACAGCAGCACGAGCTGCTGCAGACCAAAACGCAGCAAGAACAGCAGCAGCAGCAGCAGTTGCTGCATGCCGAAGAACCGCAACAGCAGCAGGCAAAGAACCAGCAACAAGAACAGCAGCAGCAGCAGCAGCAGCAGCATGCCGAAGAACCACAAAAGCAGCAGGCAAAGAACCAGCAGCGGGAACAGCAGCAGCAGCAGCAGCAGCAGGGGCGAACCGCCTGGTCCTCGAAAATGTCGAAAGTCCCGAAGTTCGTGACTCCCTGTTCCTGCAGCAGCTGCAGAACTGCTTTGCTGAATCGGCAAAAAGGAGCTTCTCTTTTTCCTTTCATGAAAAGCATTACAGGTTGCTGCTTGACAAGTGCTGCGAGGCGTTTGTGGAGCTCTTTTTCGGTCTCCACCTTGATTCCCAGCTGCTGCTGCAGCGCTGCTGCTGCTGCTGCTGCGTCAGCAGCAGCAGCAAGCGCTCGCACACACCCCACCAAACGCGGCACGTCCAGACCCACCAGCTGCCCCAGCTGCTCGGTGCCCTGCGCATGCAGCCCAGACAGCAGCAGCAGCAGCAGCAGCGCTGCAGCAGCAGCAGCAGCGCGGCAGCAGCAGCGGCAGAGCGGCTCCATCAGTAGCAGCGCTGCAGCAGCAGGCAGCTCCAGGCTGCTCCAGCTGCTGCAGGGAAGCAGCGCAGCAAATCGCCGCCACAAAGACAGCTAGCAGCAGCTTTCATGGGAGATACAGAGACACAAAAGTGATAATGAGCAGCAAGACAACAGCAGCAGCAAAAGAAGAAACACGGCAGCAGCAAAAGGCACTGGTGGCAGAGCACCAGCCGCAGGAAACCACAGCAAGCAGCAGAGAGTAGCAGCAAGCAGAAGAAAACAGCAGCAAGCAGCAGGGAGGAGCAGCAAACAGCAAACCACAGCAGCGAGCACCCAGAAGCAGCAGCAAACAGCAGCAGCAGCAAACAGCAGCAGCAGCAGCAAAGCCTTACCCAGAGAAAGTTGACGGTGGGGTGCCTGGTGACTAAAGCATTTGCAAGAAGACAAGAAGAAGCAGCAGCAACATCTACTTGGCCGAGTGCAACAGCAGGAAAGTCCTGGGAGCAGCAAAACCAAACAATTCAAATTAAAGAAACTGAAACTTAAAATTAAAATTAAACTCCAAATGCATTTCAATCTTCATTCAAAACTTCCTAACAAGTACTTGGCCGCAAAACCAGAACTCCCCAACACCCCTAGGGTTTAGGGCTTAGGGTTTCGAGACCCCGAGTGTATGTACAGCTCGCGGTGTCTCTGCAGCCGCCTGCCACCTGCTGCCTCTACAGCTCAAATTAAAGACAATCACAACAATTATTTTAGTGCCACAAAAAGCCAAAAATAGGGCACTACGGCCTCGGGGGGCCCCCAGGGGGCCCCCCCAGGGCCCCAGAGGGCCCCCCGGGGGCCCCAGGGGGCCCCCGGCGGCGCTGCTGCAGGGGCCCCCCAAGGGCACAAAAGAGACAGAGGGGTCCCGAAAGCGGGAAAAAGAAAAAGAGTTAAAAGAAGACAGCAGCGGACACAGCTAGGAGCAGCAGCTGGGAGGCAAAGGAGAGAAAGAAGCAGCGAAAAGAGCAGCAGCAAAGCGGAGTCGCACCTGCTGCAGGTGCGGCTGCAGCTGCAGCAGCTGCTGCGAAGGCGCATCAGCAGCAGCAACAAAAAAGATCGCCTTGGGGCCCCCAAGTTCGCAAAAGGCCCTGTAGGCCCCCGGAAGAGACAAGTCCTTCATTTGAAGAGCAGCAGCAGCAGCCCGTCCAGCAGTAGCAGCAGCAGCAGACACTCGGCAGCTGCAGCACGCCACACAACACACAGACACACCCGCAGCTCGAAGCAAAGAAGTGCTGCTGCTGCAGCACAGACACACAAAAAGACACGCAGCAGCAAAGCTGCAGGCAGGGGCCCCGCCCAACAGCACAGCAATGCCCCAGTGCAAAAACAGCAGCAGCAGCAGCTGCTGCTGCTGTTCTCGGTACGGCATACAGGCACGGAAATAAGGGTAGAGAGTGGGGCCCCTCGGGGGCCCCAAGCTGGCAGCTAAAGGGCCCAACTGGCCCACCAGCAGGGGGCCCCTAAGGCCTGCAGGAAGCCAAAGGGCCCCTGCCAGCTCTAAGCTGTTTCAGGGGGGCCCCCAGGCCTCTTGGGGGCCCCCTGGTGCCTAAACGCGCAGCGCGGGGCCCCACAGGGCCCCCCCAGTACTGCAGCGGCCTGAGGGGCTGCAGTGGGCCCCCGAAGGGTCTCAGCGGGGCCCCCAGGGGCCCCTTGGGAGCCCCCAGGAGGCCCCCCGCGGGCCATTGGGGGGCCCCCCGAGACACCCCATGGGGCCCCCTGGGCCTGCTGAGGGCCCCATGGGGCCCCCAGGGGCCCCCGCGCCCTTTGTGGAGGCAGGAGCTGCTGCTGAGGTGCAGCAGAGAAGAAGAGGCTTACAGGAGCAGCAGCAGCAGAGATCGGGGAGCAGCAGCACCAGAAGTCGCAGCAGCCTCTCGAGGCAGCAGCAGCTGGAGTCCTCCTCCGGAGTTGCTGGGGGTTTCTTTGGCTTTTATTTGCAGACAAAATGAAAAATAAAGGCAAAAAAGCCGCACAAATAGCAAAAATGACGGGCAAACAGCAGCAGCAGCAGTAGCAGCAGCAGCTGCTGCTGCTGCTGCTGCTGTCCTTGAGCCTAGGCCAGAGTGCCCCAGAGACACGGCTGGAGCGCCTGGGGCCCCACAGCTGCCTTGCTGCTGCTGGCTGCTGCTGCCTTTTAGTTTCTTCTTTTTTTTGTCTTTTAAAAGATTAAAAAAAACTTCCAAAGCCTCCCTGAAAAAACAGCGAGAGACGCGTTTGCTGCTCGAGACCTGCTGCTGCTTCTGTCTGGCCTTACTGCTGCAGCTACAGCTGCTGCTGCTGGCTGCTCTGTGTCTCTTTCTGCTGCAGCTCAGGAATCAGAAAAGGGCCTTTTCTTGTGTCGCTGCTGTTCCCTGGGATTTCGGGGCTTCTGTGGCCTGTCTACTGAGCCGCAGCAGCAGCAGCAAGAGCAACCTCAGCAGCAGCAGCAGCAGCAACCTCAGCAACAGCAGCAGCAGCAGCAGCAGCAAGATGTCGGGGCCTTCTTCGCCTCAATCCTCGTTTCTGCGGAGGCGCTGGGCACCCGTGGCTGCATCTTTGGTGTGGCTGCTGCTGCTTCTGAGCAGCAGCAGCAGCAGCGCAGCAGCAGCAGCGAGCGGCGACGCTGCTGCTGCGCAGGCAGGGGCCCCCAGCAGGGGCCCCCCGGGCCCTGCTGCTGCAGCAGGCAGAAGCAGCAGGGGGGCCCCTGCTGCTGAGGCCCTCGAAGAAGATTCTGAAGAAGACTCTGAAGTCTGCACCCAAAACCTCCGAGATGCAATTAATGGCGCCATTTCACAAGTGATCGGTGAGCAGCAGCAGCAAAGCGACAGACATCAGTAAGGTGTACAGACACCTGAGCTGTACAGACACCAGTGAGGTGTACAGACACCTGAGTTGTGCAAACACTAGCGAGGTGTACAGATACCTGAGGTGTACAGACAGCTGAGGTGTACAGACACCTGAGGTGTACAGACACTGGGTGAATTTGTATTTTTGTGGGGAAGAATTATATGTGCTTTTGCTGCGGATTCTTTAGGGGGTTGTCTCGTCCTTAAACCCACTATTTTCCATTATTTTATTTTATTTTATTTTCTCTTTCATTTCTATTAGCTGCCTAACTCCCTAATTGGCATTTCTCCCATTTGCTGCTTTATTTTTGCTGCGCCAGTTGCTCTAAACGCTGCTGCTTCCGCGTTTGCTGCGGCTCATGTTTTCCCAGTAGCGGCAGCAGCAGCAGC